CTTGTTTTAAAAAAGTTATAACACTTTAAAGTTTTTACTAATAAACATTGGATGCGTTTTACTGTCCGGTACTGTATTTTTTTTTTCTTCGTCGGGCTGATCCGTGTTGATCAAAACAAACAAGCCGATTGGCCACATGGCACGTGATTACACCCTGCTTTAAACGACCCCTTATTTGGGACGGTCCTACCAGTTCAAATCATTAATTCAGATACGGAACTCGAATTTCTTATACATTATAAGCATATAAAACACGGGTAAAATTTTGCTTATAAAACTCCTCCTTGGGATCTAACAAAAAAAAAAAAAAAAAACAAATTTTAGTATAAACTACATTTTAACCTAACGCTAACTCAAATCTATTTTTTTTTAAATTTGCATTATATTGATCTACAAATTATATCCCGTGTTTCGTGTTTCCTATGCCCTACTGTATAAAAAAGTTTTATCCGTAAAAATTCCATGAAAATGATACATGAAAATGAAACATTCATGGAAAAAACATGGAATAATAAACACGGATCAACATTTTTTATAGGATGGTGTAAAATTTTAAAAATGATAAATTGGCACTAGAAATAGCAAAAAATGGTTTAAAAAGATCTTTTATCGTTATATTTTTGCATCTCAACAATTCGAATCCTCGATGGAGGGAACAACATGTTACAATTTAACGTTATTCTTATACAATTTAACGTTATTCTTTTCAATAATTAATATCTTTCTATAATGGTATAAAAAATCAATTTATTCTGAATATGAAATCACTATGTAATTAAATTTTAAATGTATAAGGTTTTTCGTAACTTTTATTAATTACTGCTAACTTAGTGATATATACCATAAAAAAAACTATCATTGCTTAAATATGAACATAACTTAAAAATTTTAAAAATACGCTCTACTTAAATCTTAGAAATTTAACTTTCGCTTTACTATTAAAGTAATCAACTTGGGACTATATAGTTCGAAAAGTCCAGGCCGATCACTTATCGTTAACTTATCAGGATTATCGTTATGAATTTTGTCTCTCCAATAGTCTTCCTGTATCCACGTGACCATACCACTAATATTAGCATATCACTAATATTAGGTCGGGCGATAGAGCTCACGTTTATTGTTATTAATCGAGTAACGCGTAATCACGTATATCTGGCTGTTGCGATAAAATTTATGCCGTTTGCAAAATCAGTTTATCATATTCAAACCAAAACCATCACTCACGGATGTTACAAAAGAAATTCATCTTATGTTGCTGTGTTTTTTTTATTCACATATTATAAACATGGGTACACTACTAAACCCAATTAAGCTAAACCAAAAAATTAGTTTTTTTTTTTCTTAAACAAAAATTTTTTATACTACATAATTTTTTTCTACCACCATTTGATAAATACCTCTACCGAAATATTCGATTTTACCCAGGTAATTTTTTTTTTTTTTTTTTTAAAAAAAAAAAAAATCAAAAAAAAAAAAAGATTATTACTTTTTTTTTTTTTAATACAAAACACGCAGTATTTACATTCCATTCGTTGAATCTCTAGTTGGTGACGCCTGACTAGGTATGTTAGGTTGCCGCAAATTACTAATCGATACATTCGATGACAGCTGAACCGGGCTTGCATTCATAAACCCATTAGTAGGCACTACAATATTCTGACGCAAACCTTGGCTTGATGCTCCGTTCGGATGGACTTGTCGAATGCCATTTGGCGTCATTGGTCGAAGATTAATACTAGATTGAACATTCGCCTGCATTTGACGGACATTTAAATTTGGAACACCGTTGGCGACGAAAGCCGCAGAGACCGTCCCATTAGAAAGAACTACAGGACGTTGGTTAATTTGTGCCATGTTGCTAGCCACAGAAACTGCACCATTAGACATAAGAAAGCTTTGTCGCATACTGTTTACATTATTTTGCCCATTTGGTGACATCATATTAGTTTGTCTAATGTTTGGATTTGATGCACTATTAACCTGCTGAACGGAGTCGGGTAAAATTCCAAAGGCTTGTAAACTATCTCGGTCAAATCTTGCTAAAGGAAACCCAGCGGCACGTACCATATTATTGTTACCAACAACACCACTTTGATGTACAAAATTTTGATTCATAGCATGTCTCAGTAGAGTGGTACCGCTATTTGCCTGTACATTACCCTGTCTGAGGTTCGATGATCCATTGTTTGGTACTATGTTGTTTGTCCCGTTATTCTGAATTTGTTGAGAGGAAGAATTTGGCTGGCCGTTCGAACCGATGCTAGGTACAATTATAGTTTGAATTGAAGTTTGATTAGCAGCTGTTGACGGTGTTACTATATTACTAGCTCTGACGAGTGTTCCACGAGGTACAGAAATTGACTGTCTCATCGCTGAACTATTATTGGTTTGTGCCTGATTGTTTGTAGAAACGTTAGAACTAATCTGTATCTGATTTTGTGTTTGATTCTGAGTTTGATCTTGTGACTGAGGTTGCGTCAATTCTGGCTGTTGTGCGCGCATGGCATATATAGTACGTTGCATCATCTGCAAATTATTTTGGTCAGATGAGTGAACAAATTGTTCATTAGAAAGTCCTCTAGGGTTATTTATGCTCATATGGGGACGTGTAGATTGTACATTAAGATGTGTTGCTTGTTGTGACGGTGCAACAGGACTACCATTAGTAAAAGTTGGTTGCCCACCATTCGTAATAGTTATCCTATGTCCAGAATTAACCAAAGCAGTACCATTATTGATTTTATTTGGATCTATTAATGAAACAGAATTGTTTATCATCATCCCTGAATTAGATGATGTTCGTGATAGGGGAGAGGTAATGTTCATTATGATCCCTTCCTGTGTGGAAGGTGTTCGCTGAAGTCTTCTAGGATCAATCACCGGTGTTGCAGTGTTTATAATAATCCCAGAGTTTGAATGAGTTCGAGTGAGTCTAGGTGACGTACCGTTAATTATGACTCCAGGATTTGAAGGTGTTCTAGAAAGTCCTGGTGTTACACTGTTCACCATCATTCCAGGATTAGACGGTGTCCGAGTAAGCACCGGAGTAGTATTGTTCATGATTATTCCAGGGTTTGAGGACGTCCGAGTAAGTTCAGCACTACTTATCGCTGATGTAACATTAGTTTGCGTATTTCCTGATAGTTGTCTTGTGGCTACTTGTGGTGTCATCTGTGAAAGTTGCATTACGGAGCCGTGACCATTAATGTGGACGTTTGTGGGAACAATTCCAGTCGCACCACCTTGTAAAGGCGATGTTATTCTTGTCGTTTGAACAAGTCCGAGGCCAGATACGCCATTAGCGTTTGTGGAATCTTCTGATATACGAACATTTCGTGGAATTGGACGTCGATAAGGCGTTGCATCTCGATGATTCAGTGATAAAGATGCCCTCACTGCGTGGCCGTTGTGAGATAAATTGGCACGAGCATCGATGTTAGGACGTGATTCGTTAAGTAATCGTTGATCACTGGATTGATTCTGTTCGATAGATAAACGTTGGTCGCGTCCAGTAAGAGAACCAGTATTTAAAAGTTGATCCCGGCTTACACTAATATCCGTAGAAAGATGCTGATCACGATTAGATATTGACACGGGAATAGCCGAGTTCACACGTTGGTCCCGAATCGGAATTTGTGCTGAATTTTGAGGGTCGGAGAAAGTACGTGGGTCAATATAGGTACGTAGATTATTTGCTATCGTTAATTTATAAAGGTGTTAGTGACATTCGACAATGTTTATTATTACTTTGTAAGGAAATTTTTTAGGGTGATTATTATCGATGTAACATAACCCTATCAATAAACGATTTTTATTAATCATTATCATCGATACTTAACACATCGATGGCTATTGACTTATATGAGTTATAATTAACCAACTCATCGATGGTTGTTTATATTAGAAGTGATAATTATCATTTTTAAAGATAAGGTGATAATTATCGATTTTTTTAAACACCCTAAAAAATTTACCAATTGCATGCGTACACAATGATATTAACCTGTTCTTGAAGTGAGATTAGGATCATAATTAGGTCTGACTGATCGCTGATCCACGACAGTCCTAGGTAATATATTGGGACGTGATGAATCCATATCAATTGTAATTCGTGAATCAGGATTTCCCCTTGAAGACGAGCCTTCAGCTCGCGGTTCAGAATTTGATCGAACATCTGAACTCGGTCTAGATTGTGAACCTGAAAGAGAAACTCGAGGATCTACGTTCGCCTGAGCGCTATTCTGTGAATGGTTCTGAGTTGACAGATTATTAATACTGACTTGACCGTCATCACGTGAGCACTGTCTCGGAGAATTCTGTTTATCTTTTTGAATTTTAGTACGGAACGCACCGAGATTTTGAAAATCTTCGTCTTTTAAAAAATGAAATCTAATTGTGCTAATAAACCCAATGTAAAATAAATAGAAGAGTGTCGATTCATGAATCGCTAATCATAAAGTCATATAATATATGATGCCTATAGTTAGACCTACCATTCAGTCATGTTTGAACTATCATCGATTTCGTCACAGTCCATATCATCATCGCTGTAAACATCATCCATTTCATCCGAATCGTATTTAAATTTATTATTCTTTGGCCTTTTCATGCGGTAAATTGTGAACACATCAAGGCGATCGATCGTACGACGTTTACGACCTCCACGACCATAACGACTTCTAAATGCTGGAGGTAACATTAATTTATCAGCGTCAAATTTCCTGTAGAAAGTTGCTCCTCGCGGTCTCTCCATGGGACAATATGGATTCTAATTAACGATTTAATGCACTGACCATTAATGATCAAAAAACGAAACTAATTTTGAGTGTTAGTATAAAAACATTGGCACGTACATGTGTTACATCTAAGTGAATTCCACAACTTTCTTTGTCTTTTTTCGAGGATTTAGTGCCAGGTTTTGTTCTCAGTGATCTAATGTAGTGTCGAATTATGAGAATTATATAACAAAAAATTTTAATAAATTGAGCAAAATGAATAAACAAATAAATAAATATATATAAGTCATAATATATAAATATCATGGCATACCCAATAGTATCCATAGATGAGGTAGATATTCTTCGGTTCTTGTTCTATGGGACAAGTAAAAATTATATAAAAGTTATATAAATTGTACAAAAAGATTTCCTTAATTATAAAGATAAAATAAATACCCTTTGCTGTGAATCCGAAATAGAATTGTTTTGTATTCCCAATTCTTTCCGCATCTCCTTTATATCACATTCTTTTATAAATATTTTTCGATTTAATTCAATCCTCTGCTTCTTGAATCTTTCACGAGCTTTTACTTTAACTATTATTTCTCGACCATTGTGTACGTCACGCCTTATTCTTCTTAATTTATCGAAAGATTGTGTCTCAGTACGACGAGTCTTCCTAATTGGTTTAAGTTCGCGACGGCGGAAACAAACATATGGGTTATCTTCCTCATCTTTTGTCTCAGCAGTCTATAGTGAAAATGAAAAAATGTATATATATTAGAATTTACAATTCTGAATTATTTAATATTATCATTAATGACTATACATGTTCAATAACCTTTAGCTCAAACATTAGTGGAGCTACTGTCTTGTAGCGTAGAAATCGTTGATTTCGTTTAGACTTCCAATATGAATATACATTTTTAGAATCATTTGATAGTATTAGAAGTTTATCTGGAAGCCATGACTGGCATTCTTCCCATGATGGGAGTTGTCTTCTTGCCTAAACGTAAACCGGAAATAAGGATAAAGTATTATGCTAAATTAATATGAAAATCTGAACTTTTAATCAAACATGAACTTAAATTAAATCTGCTTACCAACAAATGTGGTTTGTTTTTTGCTTGATTTTCAAGAAATTCCATTATCTCTTCGAAATCATCTTCACTTAAATTGTTACCAGATTTTGAATTATATTCATTTAACCATTTTTCATCATCTTCATCCATGTTGTATAAACAACCGACACATTCCAGTATTGGTGTAGAAAATTTGAGGAATGTATGTGACATTTTCCATGTGGGTGGAAATAGATGTCTTTTATTGGCATCAGAGTCTGGGCAAGGGATCGCAGGTTCACCATCACCCGTTGATGTACCATTTCCCTCTTCGATCCCTTGTTGACGTTTTTCTAATGCTGTTACAAGATGTATTTCCTATAAATACAACATAAAAAAGGTCTGATTAAAATGTAATAATGTAAATTATCACGTTAAATATTATATGTATGACATGAATTGTTAATCATGTGACAACAGCATTATATTATGACATAATCGCCACAGCGCAGCCGCAGTAAGCGAAATTGCAAAATGTAAAGCAAATGACAAAGGATTTATTGAATCTTTAACGGAAAAAACCACTTCTAAAACTACTAGTTTTTACATGCTGTGTATATGTGGTGGTAATAATAAAAGAAAACAAACCTCTTCTTCCTCTTTTTCTACGCCCGTTTCCACATCAACCCCTGCCCTACTGACAGGTAGCATGTCTTCTTCACTGATTTCATGTTGAAACATTATGCGCATAGGCTTCTTATTATCTACCTTTCGTTGCCGAAAGGATTTTCGGTTCAGATTCATATTTGGGTTAAATTTAAATGATGACATCTTGACTTGTGGCGCAGTCAGATGGGAAGGTTTCGTTGCGAATAACTTTGAGAGACAAACTACTTATTGACAAAGGTGACGTTTATGTAAAGTGGAAGCGGTTTTATGAAATTGTTGTTTGTTTATAACAACTACTCGTAATTGAAAAATGTAGAAACGTTATGTTTCTCTCTTTACTTCGGCTTAAATTTATTTAATAGGTTTTTTTTTTCCGTCAACTTGGTGTTTGTTGGGGGCAAACCAAAAAAAAACCGGGTAACCAAAAATGTACTCCGAGTTACCCGATCAATTAATGAGTCATTGGCGCAAAAGTACGGCAACGTGACACAGAATACGGTGACATTTAGATTAAGTACCACATGAATTACACAAGGATCATTGATCGTAACATTTATCACATCCCAATACACGTCATCGATAGTATACCGGAACTTTGTACGAATAATTTTACGGCAATTTTAGGGCTTATAACGTCCAGTTAATAGAAAAGAACGATTTGTTCCTTTCGAATTGCAAGTGTTGGTATCGAACATTTATGATATAACCAACTTTGCTAGGCGACTTGGGAGACGATCTTCATTGTCATAAGACTAAATGAAGCATGCTAAGATTACGTCGTGCTGTCACTGCATATATATATATATCAGATATGATAAATAGATAAACGTGCATACCATTTTATCCTGGCCAGTCAACTTGTTGCCCGGTCAGAATAAATGATCCTCTTCCGTAAAATTAGAAATGTTATGTCTTTTCATTATCCACACCTTTGGCTCTATAACAATTTGTACTGGCAATAAGGATTCCAAAAACTCTTTCGTATGATACAGGTCAAAGTTTTGGAATAAGCTGAGCCAGTTTTGTACGACAATACTTGGATTTTTCAATAGTATTTTTTCGTACCCATATATGACATCAATAATTTCGAAATAATCTCCGTGAAATTGGGGTGTAGAAGTCAAAAGATGAGTATATACTGTGTAATCAATAGGCAATGAATGTGATTCGTTCTTATAGTACATCCAGTCATGCCGTAATTGGCCAAATCTGGATGCACCAGTCATTGCGGTATACACATCAAGATGTATCCGTGCTAGATGATCAAACATGTTGATATTTTGACTATTAGCAATTAAACACTATGCGAAACTATGCAGTAAAGCTATATAGCATAATAAATAAATAATCACCTTTGGTATAATCTTTTTGAATGACATGTATTTTTTGTAAGGCTACCCCACCAGGATAATTATAACTAGAAACAATGACCATTGCAGTACTTATTGAAAACCCAATTATAACAAGAGTAGAAATAAGTCGGTTTATAAATATGAGTCGTGAATATTTTTGCTTACTAATAAAGGTATTAAAATAATATGCAATTAGCTAATGTTGTAAATTGTTATAATTATAAAGATCAAAATTAAGAACTATACATTGTTACCCATCCGATAGCTGCGCACAAATTAAAAATCGGTACCACATATATGATAAACCGCCATTCTTTATGACCAAGGAAAGAAAATCCAACCAGGAAAGCGAGCATGGGTATCAAGAGTCTAAACGTACGACGGTCGTAAAACATCGAAAATATGCATAACGGAAGAGATGTCAACAGTAGCCTCGGGAGAAACACCGTGAAATATGTATTAAAAGGCGATACCTAATCATTATTCAATTATTAAAAAAAAAACAACGATTAATAAAGGCTGTTATCGAATTTTGGGATCTTGTGCAGCATTGAGGATACCATTAATAAAATATATTATCAATCAATTGATTTAGAGTAGGTGCCACCCATACTTTACAAGATCCGAATTTTGAAATACAGATATGTAATACACACCCCCCATTCGACACTCTTTCCAAGAACG